GCAAAGTTGCACTTTATCAGCCTTCCTGTTAATCTGCTTACCTTCGTAAAAGTTCGAAAGAATTTTTTGACACCCAATAGGAGTCGTGTGCTCTACCGGGGCTGCAGCAGCCAGAGTTTTTGACCCTCATCGGCGAAACTCTCGATATTCAGCTTCTACAGGGTTCCAATTAAATATACTCTTTTTGCTTTTTTCGATCCTCTCAGTTAATTATTCTAAAAGTTTTCTTTAGCAATACATTTTGAAAACTTTGTGGTAAAGAAGTCCCTCGATGCTAACCATTAGTAGTGTTACTTGTTCCACAAGAATGCTGGGTTGTGAACAAAACTTTCGCCCCAGGCGGGACTAGAGCCCGACACCTCGAACAAACAAAAACAAGTCAAAAAACTATCACTTGAAGTGTACCACCTATTGTTAGTCATTTTAAACTTTGTCGTCTATTCAGTGTTGAAATCGCCTTTGAAAATGATTCAGATTTTGTGGCATGCTGCAGTGACAGTAGCGCTAATAGGTGGGGACAAAAAACTGCGCACTAGTGACTGACACGCCACAAACGGTCACTAATAGCACCATACACTTTGCTTTTCTACAGCTCTGTTCAAGTCTTAAGATATCACCCTTCGCTCGGTCGAGGAACAATTTGATGTCCTATCAAAAAATATCAAATAATACCTAATAGCCAATTTTAAATCTATGGAACCATCGAATTCCTGAGCAATAACCAGCAGCATCTCCATGAGAAACGAATTTCCTGAGCAATAACCAGCAGCATCTCCATCAGAACCTGGGTGAAATGTGTAGGTCAGGGAGGCTATTCCACTGTGTTCTGCAATACTAAAGATAAGAATAAGGAGAAAGAAAACGCTCTGACGCATAATCGACTCATTTGAAATGTACTTCTGATAAGTACCGCTCAGGTGTGGGAGTAGTCCTGGAATGCTTTCACATTAAGACCTCCAACTGTCCAAGGAAACTGTCCAGCATGACACGAAGAGATACTTTTGCCCAGCCTAAGTAAGGAGAAACTCAGGCTCGATGAACAGGCCTAGGAACTTGGAATGTGGGCAGGGTGGGCAGGATGAAAAGCAGATATCGTCCCTTATCAGCACATTCCACGCTGTTTCACTTATCCTTGATGTTGCAGAGTTGTGAGCAAATGAGTTGTCTCAAGTACCAAGGATAGATAGGGAGGGAATTGCAACTGCTACGTTCTCACCCTTAACTCGTTGTGTAACAGGCATGGAAGAGATTGAGAGGAGATTGGTTCTGCTCATTCGAAGAACGATATGTTTATCAGGTCCAGGCGGTACTTTCGTGACATACCTGAACACCTGACCGCTGGTTTACCCGATTCGGTTTATATACGAGGGATTTACCCTCAAATCGCTCTGGCTACATGTTATTGCAGAACATGAATGGCCCGTGTGATCATCAATTTTCAAATACATGTGGGTGTCTCATTGATCGTTGACAGTGTTAGGAACTTCGAATTCCTTTCTGCAATTAAGTATTTCAGGACATCGACGCAAACACGCCATAAAGACTCACTGTGTTTTGTTCACACCTTTCAGTAGTCTTTTGGTGATCATTGTTTGTGATAGTGTAATGTTTTATGGTTGCGCTCGATTCATCAAAAACAGTTGTAATTTATATTCGATAGTACTGCGTTTCATCACTTGCCACAATCTTCTGTCTGATCATCTCCTTTGAATGCCCTTGAAGCTGCTTTCTGGAGAACAACCGCATTCACAGGTCCTTCACCAAGGAGCTGTACTTGTAAAATGTAAAATCGAAGGGAGATGCCCACTCCAGTGACGCATTTTGTTGTTGGAAATATGAATGTTCTTCACTATTTGTCCTTCATTGACAACTTCAGCTAGAGTCTAGTGTTGAAGAGAATTTGCACTAATGGGTAGATCTGGATGGAAATTTGCCTTTGGGAATAATCTCACACACTAACCATAAGCGCACCGCACCAGTGCAGGAATCAGCGGGAAAGAATGAGTCTCTCTTCTTAGGTTCTGAGCTGTTCTCACGTTTTTTCCTCAATCTCTGTACCATTGTCATCTCTTCCTTGATTTCTAACCTTGGGCAGCCTTCCATCGCCAACTCCGCCTCTGAGTGGAATATTAGCTCAACGGGGCTCAGGGAAATTGCTGCGACCAGAACTGCTTTGCCCTACGGCCTGAAGTACTTCAATGCTTCGAAAATTCTCTCTGACAAGAAAGGGTGGCCTTCGGGGCAAGCCGCGCTTTTTCAAAACAGTACTACTACTGTAGGGCTGCATATATGGACCACAAAACCATGTTTCTTTTTCGCAGAATGGTTCTAACAGTTCCAAAAATGTATTGAAAGTTACTGTGAATGATTCGATTCCCCGTGACATCGAAATTTTGCATTTTTTGTGCTCAGTATGGTCCTGGTGTGACTAACGCTACGAAATAGAAGGAGCAAGTCTAGTACAGGGTGCGCCGAAATTACTTGCTCAAACTTTTCTTCCCTATGAGAACTGTAAAACAAAAGATTGAGGTCTAGTTTTCTGAAAGAAGTCTACGAATGAAATGCCATTACCGAACCCGGCTTCACACTTCAAAGCATCTCTTTCGAACCGAGAGCTTTAGCCTCCAGTTGTGAGGAGAGGTCATCCACTGTGGCGCGTAGCTGCTCTAAAAATTCCTTCCTAAACGTAGAGCAGGTTCGTTTTCTGGGCTGCGGCTGGGTGGTATTGTTACGAGCAGGCCTTGCTCTCTAAAAAGCTCAACACGAAATATTTCACTCTAGTGAAGTAAATAATTTTGAATGACCGTGATTGAGCGCTGGCGAGGTCCAGGGCTGGTGTTCTCACATGCTGCGATGTCACCTTCGATCTACCGACTAGTGCTGCACCCTGCTGAAACACGAGTGGTCCGATCGATTGTGGAGAATTGTCCAGAAGAGTGAGTCTTAGGCTGCTTTCATAGTTCGCATCGGTGCGGTCGGTGCCGACGGTGCCGACGGCGCCGACCGCGCCGACCGCACCGACAGTGTGAAGAGCGTCAACACGCGCTCTGGCGCATGACGCGTGCGCTGGGCGCAGATGGGGCGCTCCGGTCGATAATCTTGGTTTTGGTGTATTTCTTCGATGTTTTTTGCACTCACTTCATATGAATAAACAAAATTGCTTACGACCAACACACCCGGTATGGCCACATCCACCCGGAGTTGTGCGACGGGTTCACGACGTCGCTCGCCCGCGGAACAACTGGAAAGTATTAATCAAGACATAAAAGGGCGCAATGTGGCTCGGGGGGGGGGGGCAGAGTCAACCCTGCGTTGCGCAGTTCGCAACGGCACGTTGAGAGATCCTCAACGCACGCTGTATGGGCGGAGACAGACGGCTCGAGCATGCGAGTGTGAATGTTCGCGCGAGAGAACGTGTCTAATCGGGCGAAACTGCGCAACGTGGCCGTTGAGAACTGCGCAACGCAGGGTTGACTCTGCGGGCAGCCGCGCGCGGCGTTGCGGCAACAGGAAATTCGCAAGCCAGGGGGAGTGTAGCCAATTCAGGGGGGGGGGGTGGGGGTGAGGGCAGTCACTTAGCATGCGTGAGAAGCTGAAATGTCCCGTGAAAAGCTGGAATGTTCGAGTTACACTACATCGCTGAGCCGCGCACCGACTTCCCCCCCCCCCCGAGCCACATTGCGCCCATAAAAGAATAAGTATGAACAGGAAACACACGAATTAAAGCAACACGGCGCGAAAAAAAACATCGAAAAGCACAAGAAATACACCAAAACCAGGATTATCGATCGGAGCACGCGATCTGCGCCCAACGTTCGCGTCATGCGCCAGAGTGCGTATTGACGCTCTTCACACTGTCGGTGCGGTCGGCGCCGTCGTGCCGTCGGCACCGACCGCACCGATGCGAACTATGAAAGCAGCCTAGTCAGCACACCTTCCGGCTTAACCTCGCGCTTCAGTTGGAGTATCCCCTTTGATAAAAACAAGTGGGGACACGACTTCATGGCTAATCGCAAACAAACCATGATTTTGTTGCCTTTCAGTAACATTCACGAATTCTCCATCTATCGTCAGCTTCCACCATCCTTGAGGCAGAGTCCTCCATCATTTTCACGATCGGAGTTGAGTTCATCTTAAACGGCATTTCACCGAAAACGAGCATCTCTTGGTGGCGCGCCGACGTAATCGTTTGGAAAACATACCAAGGTTCTCGCACCGGATTACCTTTATAAATGGAACATGGAGTGAGGCATTTTGGTAGCTATCAATCCAAAGTGATAGCTTTTTCTCGGCAATATGTCAGCTTGAGAGACAGACTTGTTCTAGCTTCTTGACTATGTTTGTTAGCAAGCTCGTCAGATTGGACCTCACTATGTCTCGTACCACTTTAAATTTTTGTGGAAGTTGCAGGTGGTGGTAATCACCACTCTCAGCCGTATTTCATAGTTTCGGTGCCCGTTCATCATTTGATGACAAACTCCACAGTTATACTACGTACTAGTAGTATTTGAACTATTGTTTTCGCACTAGGACCAAGCACGTTCAACGCAGTGGTCACAGCTCAGGGAGAAATATAGTCCAAACATTCTGAAAAACTTGGGCGCTGAACGGTGGCATTTGAAGCACTGATAGAGGACGTGGTAACTAAGAGAATTACCACCAATTGCTCGGCTCATCGCTCACAAGTATCAACGGGACAACCGCTGTAACTTTGAGCAAGTAATTTCGGCGCACCCTGTATTTATATACTAAGCTGAGCGATAGCGTAATGGAGCGTCAGCCGCTGACGCCCATTAGAGAAAAACGCTGCGGCCCCGGATATGTTGCACATTTCAGCAATTTTACCAGTTTTCTATGAACAGGAGTATTTAAATGAATTGATACAACATATGTTATTCTTATTTGTTAGCATATTCAAAGAAACCATTGCTCGTTCCTCTTTCTGCTGTGAAAGAGCTGAAACTAATGGATAGAATCATCACAGTCTGCCAGTTTCAGTTATGCGTTCACTTCGGCCACGAACACATGAGATCGTCTCATGCATGCAGTTCGGCTTCGGATCAATGTTCATGTTTGCTGGTTACCTCTCTACCTCGTTTATTTCTGAGTCCATTTTGAACTCTATATATCAGGATAACCCCGACACTATCAGCCAGTACGCAGGCTATTACGGGTAAGAATCACTTGCATATTTAGCGTTATTTGCTGGATACCGTGGCTGGGCAGGAATAGGGGGGGCGTAATCCCAGGCATGATTCAGAGACCGAATCTGGCTAAACTGTGTCCAAATCTAGCAATCCTTTTGTCCCTTCCTTACTACTGAATGGAATGAAAAATATTCACCTTCACATCGGGCACCTTACGCCTTTCCCCGTATAGCGCAAAAAACCACTCTGATTTGAAATCGCCTCAAATTTATCAGTTCCACCGGGGTAAGGACGTACCATTATTGGTGGAGATAGGATGCCACTTCTCACCCCAGCTATGCTCACCGTGGACATTTATTCATCCCGTCCACTCTTCGGAGATGCCTTTTAATTGAATTTTGGGTAAGATGACGCTATTAGCCTGTGTACTTAGCATCAACCAAAATATGTATGTCCTGTCCGCTGTGTTTAGGACAACGTTAGTCTGAAATCCTCTACTAACCTTCAAGCACTATTTTACGGCGTCAAGTCGTTTCAAAAATGGGATATGGACCTTACCTTTAAAAATTTTTAACCCTAATCAGTGTGCACTCCTTGCCCGGTCTTTTATGCAAGCTTTGTTTTGGCTCTTTTCTATTCTACAAACACTAAATTTCGTGACCAACAGATGGATACATACATACACATGGAGAGAGAAGGCTTGCGCAGCGACAAAAATTTATACTGTCTTTGCAGCTACAATTCAGGGCATCTTCAGTCTTGCTTAAATTTTGTTTCCCAAACATAGGGTCTCCAAAGTACATAATGTCACTCGCAAGTGCGTTGTTTGTTGTTTCTATGACTTTTTGTATGCCTGTATGACTCATAATGTCTTTTTTCATGTTCATGCCAGATTTACTAGAGATGGTTTTGTCACTAAAGCAGATGAGCATTTTTACAGAGCGAAAATAGCAAAAGTCGCTTCAGGAGATGACAGCTCTAATTGATTTTGTTCATAAAGAATGGTTAGCAAAGAATTTAAGCAGAGGTTTCTGAGTGAGAGGACTCTGTCAGCACGGTGAGACGCTGGGGTGAATTCACAGCGATAAAAATCATAGAATAACAGTCAATTCATGAAATACCGAAGAAAAGCGTACGTATAATGGGTACCTCCTAATTCATATTTTAAGTCAAAGCCGAACTCATAAAAACCGACTGGAGTTGTAGAAACTGCAAACTGAAACGTATATTGTAGTTTGTACTTTTGCCACGATATTGTTAAAGTGTAAAATTTTATATCTGAGCCGACGTTTCGACGAACCGTCTTTCAAAGCATAAACATGGTTCAATCTTGAAGTGGCAACGTACCTCACCAAACGCCTCCTCCCTTTGAATTTTTGTTGTCCTCGCAGGACGATGGAAACCAGAACTCAAAAAGGCACTTGCCGTTGATTCGATCTCCTTTGGAACGGCAGCATTTTCTTTGTCATTCTTAGCCTGGGCGGCTTTTAATTGCGATGTGGTTTACGACTTACTTACGGGGACCAGTCAGTATAAGGTCAGTCTTTTATCCTCCCAGACAAGTCTGGTACCAATTAATCGACCCTGTAGGTATGGAAGGCATGGTTGGCTTGGACGACTCACCGACCCAGGATTTGATCCACGGACCACACGCGTGGTGAACGTGCCACTTGCCACTACACTACTTCCGCCCCAGTAAACATTAGTAGCGAATAATGTTACTTTGCTGTCCTTTTACACTATAACAACCCCGAGACGGAAGTGCAATCACAATTACAACAAGAACAACGAAAATGTCGAGATTTCAAGATGAGAAACTTGGAATTTATGAAAACGCCTAGTTTTGCCCTGATTCTATATGTGTGTTCACTTTTCCTCACCTGAGTGTGTTTCAGAGGAGCTATTCAATTCGGAGCATTGGCCATATCGAGTATTGTCACACCATCTGTAGTTCATTGTCTCACCTCTAAGATGAGTTCTATTTCCCAGATCTGGTGTACTGTAAGAATGTTGTGCTTTTGACCCAATGACGTTGTTTTAGTGGTCGCTGGTACTAAGCAGCCTTCTGTTCGCTCTTTACTACGTAGGATTCGCGAAAGTCACCTGGTGGTATTTTTACCTTCACAGGTTTTTGTTGGTTTCGGCTATGCATGTGAGTTTAATTTATATCTGTGAATTTGTTTTATCTAAGAAAGTGATAATCTAACTATTTTTTTTGTCTTTTGTCTTTTATTTTGTCTTATAGTAAATTCGGTTGTAGGATCGACGACCACACAGCTAATTTCATCCTCCAATAGCCTCAATATAGCTATGTAAACTCGAAGTGAGCGGGTTACCTATTTGAACTGATTCGAAAATCGAACTTGAAAACCAAAACAGACCTGAAACCCGGAAAAAAGCCTAAATCGAAGGATTTGAAGGGACTCAACCCACTGGTGCTATAATGCTAATTTAATCGGTCTCGCTGCCTTAGAAGCATGTGCTGGACTGCGCGCAATATGTGGTCACGCCATCGGCTCCCTATCAAAATCTATCACAACAATTGCTGTCAGAGGGGTAGCGCCCGCCTTCAGTAGCTAAGGTGTTGAAAATTAAGTCATCATTTGAGTGATACAGTTTAAAGGAAGTGATTACGAGTCGCATCGGGGGAGTATATGCGCCACACGAAGCAGTTACTTGGCTGCCAAGGAAGCGAAGTGTGGCGCTTTCACGACGAAGGTTGCTGAGCAGGACTTCCGAAGCACTCCGCCCCGAAAAGCGTTACGCCCACTAGTTCAGTTGATGACTTGGGCGAGCTGTTGCTGTTGGCTTTCATTTTGGAAGATCATTTTTTATCAGCGTACCACTGAGCATCCCCACGTCCCCTTCGTAACCCTCCATGAACTACCGTAATCGCCTTCAATACTATATGCGATTGCACTTCTCATTTTCAAGCTTGCTAATGTAAAACGATAATATGATGACAGTGTCGCGGGGTTTTGCTGAGGTTTTTTTTCAGTGCCAGAACTCCTTCAGAGCTTTCTGAGTTCGTACATAGATTCCTATGTACCGGGCCATTTTTGTATAATCTAGAATGCCGCTCTTTTCGATGTATCGCTGATTCACAATTGAATCAAGATTTCTATATTTTGATTTGATTAGCATGTCATCAGGGTTCATAGGTCACTCGACGATGGTTCGGTTTTTGGCTTTTTGCACAGACTAGACTCTGAGGATCCATAACGTATTCGAGGGCAGATATCTTTTACCCGACTAATAGGAATATATTATATATTCGATACTTTTACATTGAGAATTTGAATCAAGAAATGTCTACAAAAATTGAAAATTTGTGTTTGATTCTTCTCAATTAATTTATGCCCCCTTTTTAGCACGCATCAGCCATGAGGCTAATCAGCTATCACTTCCACGGCACCAAAACTTTTCGAAAGAAATGAGATCCCCTTTATGCTCGTTGATTTGCGCGTTGGACCATCGTCATCGGTGCTGACCTCAGCCGCGGCAGCGCTGCGTCAGCTAGAGCTACTAGAGTCAG